GGCATTCCTAGAACTATTATGTTTGATTAAATTGTTAGATTTTCAAACCTTTTTTAAGAATAATATTGAGGAAAATGGGAACCTAATATTAATATAGCTCAACAGCCCACCAAGAAACACGCATCCAAACCAAAACTATCAAGTAAAGCTTGGAGAATCTACTAAGATGTTTGTTGGTAAAAACAATAATTGATGAGATCAGCTTCTAATGCAAGTAGAATTTGCATTAAATTGTTCTTTCTGCCAACAATCAATTGAAACAAGTTAAAGCACTATATAAGTGCAACATTGTCACACCGAAAAAAGCTAATATTGCCAAATACAACCACCAACTTCATCATTGACAAAAAAAGGTCCAAGAAATCAAGCAGCGTCATGAAAAGATATGTAAAATGATCGTAAAATAAAATACCAAATATTAAAAATAAGCAAATAATTCCAAGAAGGCAATAGCTTTGAAGGGAGGGGATTTGGTGTGGATTTACCTAAAGAAAGTTTTCCAGTTGGAAAACATGTGAAGCCCAAACCAAAACTTAAGGTGATGTTGAAAGTAATCAAGTGCGTCAATGACAATACATACACAAGTTATTGACCAGGCAATTATAAAATAGCCATCCCTTACAACATTGTCGACCTATTATCCTAGTACAAACTAAAGCCTATTGAAATCATCGAAGTTATGCCTTTCCACTCCGGAAAGCATGACAAAGATGCTATGCTTTTTATCTTTTTTGTTGTCTATTATGTTCTTGTATAGAATGTTTATAAGCAGTGATTTTTGGGAGAGTGGGGAGGTGGCAACAAGAATGAAAGGATAGAGTCATCCTTGCTGTTTAAGAAAATTAGTTTTTAGTTGTTGAATAAGAATTTTGAGAGCTATCGTTTCTCCTATTTCTCTATATCCTAAACTTGTGTGTTTAGAAGGTGGTTTCTGGGATGTCATAGTGAAGGGTATGATCTTGAATATAAAGATTTTTTTTTTCTATTAACTATCCATTTTTTCCATTGTACTCTCATTCAATTGGCTAAAGCTAAGCCTCAAAAAAAGAAATGTAATTCAATCTTGTTCTTATTTTGTGTTCAAGACTTCCTCTTGAAGACTACGGTGCCACAAATTCACAATCCTAAGGAATTTGTGTCCTGGTTGTGGTGTCAAAATGCACAGAATTCAAATCATGACTTTCCCCCTTATCTTATAAGGAGATGCTTCTTGAGATTTGCATCAAAGTTATGATTACATGGCTTCTAAAAGATTATAATGAAACTCATCCAACAAGTATCATTACAAATTAAGAATCCTGACCTTTCTCCCTATATCAATATAGTCAAGAACCAAATATAGCTATAAGAAAACAATCCTTAGAGACGAGTTATGCCATAAATATGCAGAATATAGAATATTTATTGTCCAAGTATGAGCAAAAATTAATGTTCACCCATCCAGTACTTTCAACAACAATCACATTGCCATATAAATAATGCAAGCTTAAACAATGTGCATATCCAAAAATGATGTTATTTGCTTGGCAAAAGGAGGGGGAAAGTTTATGATTCATGCCAATTTTTACCTCCATTTTCCACTAACTTCAGTCGTTTTCCTAACTGCAACAATAAATTTCAGCCAAGAAACGACTTGTTTGACCACATACCAAAGCAAATCGTGAAGTTCGGAATATGTTAGCATATAGCCACAGATAAGCAAATTAGGACTCCTACGATCCACTTAATCCAAAACGATGGATAGAACACGTGGTGTTTGCAATTTGCAAAAGTTTTCAAGTCATGCATTTAAATTTATAACCAAGCTACACTGAGCAACGATGCAAAATCCCAGCCCTAAAAAGAAGGATTCAGGCCCACCACCAAAACCATTATAACAGTAATCTCCCAAGCGGGAAACCAGATTTAAACAAGAAATTGAACAGTTCAAAACAGCATGAAAAAAAGGAGGAAAAGAAACAGCGCACCAAAATCTAGCAGAGAACTCCAATACTCCGATTGCATCGATGACCGAAATCACCCAGATGGCCAAGTTTCCCGAATCGGATAAAACTTTTGGCACTCATACATGCTGCATTCCTTGGCGACCATAGAAAGCACCGCCCATACCCCAACCACGCCCTAGTTGCAGCCGAATGCAGAACTAACTGCAAAAAATAACCAAATACGACAAGAATCCCAACGTCAACCGACTTGGAGACCCTATAAACCGAGGCTTGCCAGTCGAGAGTGCCGCCCGCGAGATTGATGCAGCGGCAAAGCGGCACAGCGGCAAAGAGAAGGGGAGCGAATAGTAGCAAGGCACAAGTTAGCTCTAAGGATTCAATGGAAGTTAGTTGAGCGGTGCGCGTCTGCAGCGGCGGCGGAGCCCGGCAGAGAGGAAGGAGGAGATCGGCGATTGGACTATCCCGGGAATGGAGGATATCGTGGACAAGCGTTCCCTTCGGCTTCCTGAATTTCTCTCCTTTTTTTCTATTTTCTGGAAAATAATATTATGAGGGTATATGCGGAAATGGAAGCGTAAATCGTGCGGAAACTGAAGCGAATTGCTTTATTTTATACGAACGGTGTATTTGCATTTTGGTCCACTTATTATTATTATTTGCATCATAGTTTCCTGGTGAGCTATTTGGGTCCGTTTCTTCGTATCCGCCGGGCTTAAAATCGGCCAGGACTATCCGTTGTTCCAATAATAGTTGGAGCATTTAACGGTAATAAATATTAATATATACATATAATTTTCAGAAAAAATTTACGTCCTAGACAAGGTTATGAAAATATTAAATTTAGGTTCACCTTATAAATCATAAATATATTTCAAAATAATCATAGATATGAAAATTTGTATTTCATGTTTTAAAAATAGTGATATTTTATATGATATGAATTATTTTGATCGTATATATAAGTGTAAGAAAAATATAATTTAGGCATTAGACATGTAAATAAATAATATTGGGTGGCATGTATGTAAATTGAGTTTTTTTTTTATGATAGTAATATTTTTTATGTGATATGAGTGATTTCGGTGGTATAAATGTAAAAAATAGTTTTGGTCTTATGTAAATTACATAAAGTTGGTGGTATATATGTAAAAAAAATATAATTTTTGGTTTTGGATCAAATCGACCGACTTTTTTCTTTTCCAAGCCGATTCAAACCGATATATTCAGGTTTGATGTGGGGACAGTTCTTAAGCCGGCTTGAACCGGACCACCGATTGGTTCACGGTCCAATTAGTCGAGCTATCAGTTGAACCAGTCGTTTTAATCCGATTTTCTAAATGCAGGTTTTAGTCAATGTCCTCTTAGCTTACAAAAAGTTACAATTTATTTATTAGACCAAATTTTTGTTAAGTGGCCTTTTAAAAAACATTTTTTTTTATTTTTTTATTTTTTTGTTATTTCTTTTAGGGGGCATTTGTATACTTTACATACAAAAATAGACTCTCGAAAAGCCTAAACACCAAATAGGCTTTTGGGCCCAAAAAAGTCTAGCTATAAGCATATTGTATTTACAAAGCACATTCAACACAATCACAGCTACAAAACCCATCCCTCAAAGAGAATTAGCAAGCTCTTTCGGCGAGCTCGCCAGTAATGCCAGCTCCTCAATTGAGTTCACTTGTATTCATCGAGCTTCTCCTTCGAGCTCGCATGTTTTCATTGAACTCTTCCATCCATCTCGCCAGCTGTCAACGAGCTCTCCCACTGAGCTCACCTGTAATCATCATGCGACACCAACGAGGTCATTGAATAAACAATTAAAGTTGCCTAAGCGACAAAAAGAAGGGAACTCCTATCCATCATTGTCCATGCACATTCATGGGTCGCATGACTCCCATAGTTGTATCTCATCAATTACAACTCCTAGTCGGCTATGTACAACATGGCCTAAGGTGTAGTAATTATTTATTTATTTTCCTATAAAAGTAAGAACATCCTACGAGATGTATAGATGGGCGGGTCCTCACTCTTCCAAAGGGATTCTATCGATCAAAGGGTGGGGAATACCCTTGAAAAACCTATACTCATTTTTGTTTCCTTTAACTTACAAGATCTCTCCCAGAGTTTGTGGATTCACGGATCATACAGGACTCTACATCATAAAAGGATTCAATATCTTGAAATGTGTGGCGAGTGTTGATCTCATACTCTAATCTAGCCAGAAGATATTTGGCGCGAATGAAAATACTGGACAAAGATAGACTGCGTTAATGAATTCGGGTTGCAGCATATGAATGAACTAAATGAACAAATGAGGACAATGATACATGAAGTAAGGTAGGAGGCCTCCAAATCCCTTTCAAAAGATCATTCGAGAAGTCACACACAGAATCATTAGGATCAGGAGTGCAAAGACAAAAAAATTCATTGGAGCAAATTGCAAGGAGAAGAATTACCGAGGGCGCCCTGCTTATATGTTAAAATAAGAGGATGATGATGAATCTTATTTCTCGGAAAATGATATTTCAAAATCCTATAATAGTGAATGACGAAGAAGAAGAAGAAAAGGGCCGTTAGCACTAATTCTCGAGAGAGATTATTGATGTTGAAGCACCCAAAAATAACAAGATCTCTTTCTTGTATTCTTCTAAAAGAATAATGTATCCCTCCAATCATATAGCTTCTTTTGAATCGGCAGTATGTCTGTTATGGATAAACGATGTCATTAAATGTTGTTTGTTCCCCTTGGTGCTCAAAGATTCATCTCTATGCTGATTCAATAACCTATCGTTAAGAGTCATTGCCTCCTTCGGTGAGTTCAAACAAATATTTGTGACTTAATTTGCCGGTGCTTAAAAATCACGAAAGAGTTCTCAAGCTTTGTTGAAGATTCAACGGGCACTTTCTAAAAGCCTGAAATTTTTGGACATCAAATACCTTGAACCTGTTGTTGCTCACACAGGCATGGCTCAAGGCCAGTGTGAAAGTCAATTCAGATATGTGTTTAGGGCTGTCAAAAAGGCTCGTTGTTCGCAAACAGTTCGTGTTCGACTCATTCATGTTCAATTTGTTGACTAAGCAAACAAGTCAAACACGAATAATTTTTTTTCACTTGATATATAAACACATTGAACATGAACAACGGTTTGTTCATTCGAATTTTGTTCATTTTGGCTTGAAATAATTATATATTTAATTGACGATGAGTATTTTTAAAAAATTTAATTGACTACAAGAGTACAAGAGTACAAAAATTTATAATCAACTAAAATTATTAATTGAGAAATAGAATAGAAATATTAAATTATAGTTAAATGATGTTTTAATATAAATAATAAGATTTAAATCTCACCCCAACCATTGATATCCTACGGCTGCGCGACTAGGGTGGTTAAAATGATTCTTTGTTTGAGAACAACTCGTGTTCGGCTCGCTAAGCAAACGAGCTGAACACGATCACTTTTTTTTTGTGTTTGAAATATGAACGAGTCAAACACGAACTGTAGTATTTTTTACGAGTCAAACACGAGCTAAGCCTGGGCTCACTCGTGTTTGACATGTTCACACCCCTACATGTGCTTGACTTGCAAAAGCTATAACTTTAGTTGAGCGTTTAGAACCAACTAACGACCATATTTTAGTTGAAGCATAAAAATTTCTACTATATTTTTTTGCAGAGTTTGTCGGAACATATACCTCTCTTATACATTTTTTAATAAATTATAATTGTACCATCATTCTTTTGTTTTATATTTATATTTTTCATAAAAATATGAAAATTTAATAATAATTAAAGTTCATCATTTTCTATACTTTATGAAGATGAATTTTTAATTAGGCTTATAATAGTCTCAAAAAAAATTATTTAGAACTTTTAGATTAAATCTTCTTTTCTCATATATTTAAAATATTTATTTATTACTTATCAACCAACTACTTTCAAAATGATTTAAAAGAAAAAGTAATATAAAAGTAAATATTAATCGATATATTAAAATATCTATTATAAAATACATACTGAAGTATTATGGTTGATTATCATATGTATGAGACTTAGGTATTACAATTTCTACTTAATATCTATAATCTATTTCTTTAGTACATAAAAAGATACAATTGTGCACATAGAACATTTAATATAGTAGTAATGACCTATTAAGAAAATGTAAAGCTCTGGATTACCTCAGTTGGTCCAATAAATATCAACTTGATCATTTTCTCTGCTAAATTTATTCACATTCTTCATAAAGCTAACTTTTAATATTATAAAGCCACAAATTTAAAAACAATTGCCTTATATTTTATATCATAATACCTCTCTTATCTATCCCATGTTGTCAAAAATGATAACAATCCTTTAATGCTTTTGCTTTAAACATAAATATGAATGATATCATCCCTTTTACTCAAAAATAACACAGGTGCTTCATATAAAGATATATTATATTTGACAAATTTTCTATCTAAAAACTCTTGTAGTTAGACATTCAACTCTTAAAGTTCCTTAGATTCCACTCTATAAGAGGTATGCTAGACACTATCTCAACTTAGAACTTTGCCTCTCTCTCTCTAGAGATAAACTAACCAACACTTTAGAAAAAAACATCTAAAAAGTTCTCTTGTTGTAGAAATGTCAACACTAATCTCTCACATACATAAAAAATAGATCGCTTATCTATCTTCGTAATCCATCAACTTGTATGACTGACCAAAAAGATAATAACAAACCTTTAATACATTCAAAACAAAACATCTTACTACTAACACATATCATTATCATTTTTTATCACAACTAATGTAGAAGATGTTTTATCATAAAACAAACCATCTTACTACTAACAAACCTTTTCATACTTAATCAATATAACATCAAACTCATTCAAGAACAATTTAGCCTGGAAAAAAAATTTCATTTAAGAACTACATTTTAGAAATATAAACTTAACTACCAATAAAATAAAATTCAATAAGCAAAAAAATAAATAAATTAGGCAATAAAGTAATAAGAAGTAAACATAATCAGTCACGAAATTTCTCAGATATTAAAAAAATGATTAAATTTTATATAGCTAAGTAAAATGGAATTTATAGACATCACAATATCAAATGTGTCTTTTACCTCTTACTACATCAAACTATACACTTTAGGTTGGGATAGAGTAGTAATAACTAGAGAAATTAAATCTCTTTGGCTCTCTCTCTCTCTCTCTCATTTGCCTCTTATTAAACATATCATCACTATTACTTGATGATTTGTCATTATGAATCTCTAAATGGGGCTATATTGAGCTACTTACTATGCATTTGATCTATTCAAATATCTAATATATTCTTAAATGCTCAATATGGACATTTTGTTCTCCTATAACTAGATTTCTTGCTCTTGAAATACTCTCAAAAAATTTAAATAATTTCCACCATAATACCTCCTTCCACAAAATTATAGACTAGAACACTACTCCTCAAAATAGTTTAACCATTCCTCCTAAAAATAATTGAGCCTCTCCAAGAGTCTTACGACCTAAATCAAAAACTTCTTATCTGCATCTCTTTTAAAAGTTTTTT